TATATATATATTATATTATATATATATATATATATTATATATATATATATATATATATATATATATATATATATATATATATATATATATATATATATATTTAATATATATACCATTTAATATATATACCATGTATGTCAATGATTTGTCACAGACAATAATATGCTCCTCTGCCATGGACGGGTGGGAAATGCGGGTTGTGTGTTGAGTTGGGTAGTACGTGCACATGTGACAGTCTACACAGGAATGATAGCCATATATCTATTCTAAATCTATTCTAACCCAAATGGGTCGAGATAAGATAAGCAACACTCCCATACACGCATATAATCTGGCCTGTCCAACGACTTCCACCGATGAAAAGGCCTGTACCATTGCAAACGCAACCAGCCCCGCTAAGTAGAAGGCACCCACGGCATCGCCAACACTTTTAGAGCCTTCGCTGACATCTGTTAGCAGTCACTTTCAAACAGACATGTGTATGCCAATATCACATTAAGAACACTTCCACCTACTCATGTACACACTAAAATATGAGTAAGTATGTATATATGCGATGTACAATATGCGATGTACATGCATACAACACATGAACATAGCCCCTACCTGGCCTGGCCAATGGCTTCCATCGATGAAAAGGTCTGTCCCATCGCAATTGCTGCCAGCACCACGGCGTAGAACACCGTCATGGCATCGCCAACCCCCACAGTGCCATTACTAACCAAATCGAACGCAAACCACATAATGAACGAGCACGAGCCAAACAGCACAAACAGGGACAGTCCCGTCCCAAAGGCGTATACGTAGGCGCGTTTGATTCCTGTATGTGGTGAAACATAGTCTTAGGGTTTTGGGGTTTTGGGGTTCCATACTATGGAAGGGAGGATGACTAAATCGTATGTGTGTGCGTGGATACAGCCTTGACTGGTGAACACGTGATGACTGCGGATGGCTCTAACAGTACAACCAACGATAATGTATACATATAGGGGTATGTGTGTAGTTGTAAGTATCTGGTACATATTTAAATCTGGTGAGAATACTACCTCCATACAAAACACACCTTTCTCCTGCACACTGTCGACTTGATCGTTGAATCGTTGAATCTCCGATTTTTGACCGCCAAAAGCGGTTACGGTCTTTATTAGGGCAAGCGACTCCTCGGCCATAGCTGCAGCAGACGCGTACTCTTGTGAAGATTGACTCACCTGTGAGTGCACATTCAAAAATAGAAATAAAACAATCGAGTATATTTAAATATATTCACATAGGTACTTGCCTACGTGTATACACACGCCCACGCACATCCATCATATACACACATGCACTGTATATCCATCATATACACACATGCACTATATATCCATCCTATACACACATGCACTATATATCCATCCTATACAAACATGCACTGTATAGCCATACCGATTTGGACACAAGTCTCGACATGAGAGCACCCGAGCCAGCAATCAGTGGAGTGAAGGCGATGCACACCAGCGCTATCTGCCACGCAGTAACCAGGCCGATGATTAAGCCAGAGAGCGTCACACCCCACAGTAGGAAGAAAAAGGCCAGCTGGTCGCCTATGGCCCCCTCGATCTGTGGGAAATGATCGAATCACTAAAGAGTTGAGGGCACTACAAGTGTATCGTTTGCATCTGCATAATTTATATACCAGAACACGCATCCTCGATCTGTGGTTAATGATCGAATCGGAAAGAGTTGATGACATTACAAGTGTATCCTTTACATCTGCGCAATATATCTACAAGAACGCGCACCCTCGATCTGTGGGTAGTGATCGAATCATAAAGAGTTGATGGCATTACAAGTGTATCCTTTACATCTGCGTAATATATTTACCAGAACACGCACCCACGATCTGTGGGTAATGATCGAATCATAAAGAGTTGATGGCATTACAAGTGTATCCTTTACATCTGCGTAATATATATACCAGAACACGCACCTTCGATCTGTGGGTAATGATCGAATCATAACCAATTGATGGCAATACAGTGTGTCGTTTACATCTGAGTAATACATATACCAGAACACGTGTATGCTTCCACGTTGACATCGCGCCGATACCTTGGACATGTCGTTCGTGGCATGGGCGATGAGTTCGCCTCCGGTGTGGTGGTCGTGGAAAGCGATCTCCTGCGAAAGCACTGACTTCAGGTACAATCTATGGTGTCCAAAAATAAATGTATTCATCAGTTGAAGGCAGAAAAACGCCTGTGTATGCCGTGAGTAGTGTGAATAGAAATTCGCTATTTAGGGAAAGTTTAAACCACGATTCGCGTACATCGATATGTGAGAAAGTGCTGACTTCAAGTACAATCTGTGGTGTCCAGAAATAAACTGGTTCATCAGTTGAGTGCATATAAATCCTATATATGCCGTAGTTGTTTTACATAGAATCGCTTTTTCAGGGTGTTTAATGACGAGATTGGGTGCATTGATATTTGAGCTAATGATAATACGGAAAGGGCGTATACTTTGGCTTAGAACACACACGCGCATCTCTGCTCAGTAAGCCCACCACCCTCGTTGCATGGACAGTCGGATATAGTAGCCCAACAGCACGCCTTGCAACACTCCAGCAATGCCGCCAATAACACCCACAACAAACAGAATAACGGCCATGATAATCGGGATCACAGCAATGCATGTGACATCGCTACAACAGACTACACGAGTCTACACTCTGGTTAAGAAAACACACGCACATATCTTCTGAATATACACACCACACCACCCACCTTCTGATACGTTGCATGGACGGTCGGATATAGTAGCCCAATAGCACACGCTGCAACACTCCGGCAATGCCGCCAATAACCCCCATGATAATCAGGATAACAGCCAGCCGTATAACGTCCTGGTCTAGTTTATCAAATCCGGCTGTGACAATCTGTAGCGTCTCCAGAAGACCCAGAGCACCCTGTACCCCGCTCATGACCTTGAGGGGGTTCGTGGTCGCCTGTTCGGACAGGTTCCTCCAGTCAACCTGTGTGTGGTAGATACGGCGCGGGTAGGGGTGTTGGTGTTTTATTTGTGAGTTTGTCTCGAAGTTGAAGGTATATAAATAAACATGTATATATATATATA